AAAAAAAAAAAAAAAAAAAAGGAGAAGAAGAAAATATAGCTGTGAACTAGCATGAGGCATTTAGGATCTTATCTAGCCGACTCCAAGAGCAGCTGAGATGAAAAGGGGATAAAAACCTCAAGAACAAACTATGATGTGTAAGAGTTCCTGCAGCCCAGCCTATCCAAACCTGAGGCGTCCTCCTGATACCCCTTAACTGACGGCTTCAACGTGCAACTTGTCAACAGAGGGCAATTGGGCACTCCCAGAAGAGCAAAATATTAATATTAAGCAAGCAAGAAACTGTATTCTGCACGCTAGAGGATCCTTCACCAATACCTACAAACCAATGATCACCTGTAACATTTTAAAATCCTAAACCTAAGCTATTCCTCCACGAAGGAATTCTGCGAACCTCTAGAATTCCACGGGAAAATCAGGCTTCGCGGTTTAAAAGGGCAGGCAGAGGCATGCTCCCGGCTCAGGCGGACTTTCCAGGCTGCTGGGCGGGTTAGTCCACCGGACGGCGACAGCCACACGGCAGGTTCCCGGAGCAGCAGCAGCTCAGCCGGCCGGGAGCAAATCCCCCTCCTTTCTCACCCCGCTCCGGGGTCAGTGGGCCTCCGCCGGCACCTGCCCTGCTCCCAGTGTGGGAAGCGGTAGGCCCCGCCCCCGCGGCAGACCACGCCCCGCCTGGCCCCGCCCCGCCCGGCAAGGCCCCGCCTCGTGAGGCCCCGCCCCGCCCACTCCACGGCCCCGTCCGCCAATGCAGCGCGCGCCCTTCCCGTCCTCGCCGCTACCTGCTGCGGTTCCGGCGGTCGGCCGCTCCGTTGCCCTCGGGCGCCTTGGTTGCGGCCCTCCGCTGAGGCGCCATCGCGCCAGGCCGCCTTGGAGCCGGGCCGGACGCGGGAACCGCCAGGCCCGGGGACTAACGCCGTGACAGGGAGCGCGAGGCGGGCGCGGCGCAGGGACGCGAGAGCGACGCGCTCGGCCATCGGCCCCCGGGCTGGCGGCCAGGCCCGAGCAATCGGCGGCCGAGCGGGGCGGGCTCGGAGCGGAGGCGGCGGTCACGTGGGCGGGCGGCCGGGCCTGGCGGCGCCCCCGGACCTCGCGGGACCGCGGCGGCGCAGGTGAGGTGCGCGCGCGGCGCTGGCTGTGCGCGCTCGGCCGGGGCTCCCGCTGGAAGCGTTTCCCCCCGCGCCTGCACCTGCAGAGGGACGGCCGGCTCCGGAGCGGCGCCCCCGGCGTGGCTGTCCCGCAGCGGCGTTGCGGGGCTGCCGGGAGAGGCGCGCACCGAGCCTGCGGTGAGAATTGTGCGTGGTCGGTGAAAGCCGAAAGCGCCCGGTGTCCGTGAGCGCCGCCCGCCTGCCCTGCTGCGTCGCAGGCCCCTTGGGGCCAGGAGCCTGCGAACCGTTCCCAGAACCAGGGCTGGAATTACTGAACCGAGCCTGTCTCACGCACAAAGGCTTTCTTTCCTTTTCTCACCCAGTCCTTTGTGCTTTCATAATAGATAGGAAAAAACGAACACACACATTTTACTTTTCCCCAGCTGCTTCGTGATTCCTTGGATGCCGATTTTATTCGGTAGGATACTACAGTCAGCTCTGATGCACTTGGGGCTTTTTAAAAATTATCAGCCGGGCGCGGTGGCTCAAGCCTGTAATCCCAGCACTTTGGGAGGCCGAGGCGGGTGGATCACAAGGTCAAGAGATCGAGACCATCCTGGTCAACATGGTGAAACCCCGTCTCTACTAA